ATGTACTTTGCCCTTCTCTATTTTAATTGGCGTTTAGCTTATTTATTTTCTGGAGAAATTTGAAACATGTGAGAGTTAATTATGTTCTTAAGGTGGATTGATGAATTTACTTCCTTGTATCTGTTTCTAATAGCACCTTCTAAAATATATCTTTTTTTTCCTAGGGGGAAAGACAAAAGATTCAAGTGTTTGATACTTATTACTGTCCAAATAAAATCATAAAGGTTCTAGTCTGTAAACCCTTTGAAACAAAGGGCAGGTGCTAGTCTTAAGATTTTAGATTGTGTACATTTACGGAGTTTGCATCACACCTCCTCTTACATTTAGAATGAACTCGCATAATCTTCCTTCACTGATCCACAGTACTGTTGCCTGGAGTATTTAAGCCAGGAGGCTTTGCATGTTGTAAAATCTTAATCTTTCTAAACAAACAGTGCTGATAAGAAATGATATATTTCAATGGAGACACAGCCTTACTGGGTAGATTAACATTAGCTCTTTGCTTTACTTAGTTCCTTATGGTGTTAGTCCATAGTTTGACATGTCTCCATTCCACAGCAGCCAGGGATGTTTAAGTGGTGATATCATCAGCGAGAGAAGATAAAGATCCTCTGAACTGATGTGCTGAGGCTCGTAACAATGTGGCAGAAGTTAAAATTTAAGCAGCTCTTATTTTTCTTTGTTTGATTTTCACACTGCAAACTGAATTATTTCCTTATCTGATTGAAGCAGTTTTGCATGGTGGTAGCGTCTGCTGTGTTTTTTTTATCTTGAAAGAATATTAAATACTAAATCTTTCTACATCAAAAGAATCTAATTATGTCTATCTTGAAATTGATCTATTATGTGTTTAGATCTTGATAGCTGAATTTAGCTGGAAAAGTGTACTTTAAAGGCTGCAAACTAAGTGTCTGAGGTGTGGTGGTTACCAGCAAGACACAAAGGCAGAAAGTAAATGTAGACTTCTCTTAAATTTCCTACTGCTTTGAAAATTTCAATCATGATGTTTTGATCTATTTTTACCATGTACTTTCTATCCTTTAGTAAAAACACCAGTGATTATAAGTAAGTATATCCTTAATTTAGTATTCTTATCTTCTAGGACAATTAATAGTTATAAAGCACTGAACAAAAGGAGGATGTTAATAAATCTAGCATTTCTGCATCTGTGTAGGAATTTTGTACACCATAATTCACTCTACTTTTAAATGTTAATGGAACTCAGAAGATTACAAGCCTATGAAATAACGTTAAAGGCAATGACTTCCTTGTCTATTAAGGTGATGTCTGAATTCAGTATTTATTTTCAACCCACAGATTGAGAGCTACTGTTTAAACTAACACTTAAAAATATGTTTATTTCTGGTCAATGTGAACCATTTGTCAGAGTAATCTGAATAGGGTGTCTGTAAAAAGCAGGTGTCTGGTTACATTTCTTTGTGGACAAATACTCTTCATATATGCCACGGAAAGTCAGTTGGCTGGCCAATTCTGTGTAGGATTGGCTTCATTAGGACAAGAGATGCAATTAAAAAATATTGGAAATGGAACCTCCACATGATATCTGGAAGCTTGCCTGTTTTCCTCAGAGATGGTATCAGGTTTGCAGAACTAGTGTTGCTTTGTCTGAGAGTTTCCATTTTAGCACTGAGCTTTGTAACATTACCTTTCTTTCAAGGAAGTCTTTTGGCACATGGACTGGGCCCTGCACAATGGTATTTTTGTCAGCATCTCTGATTATTCAAGTCTATTTGAGTCCAGGCACTGTGATTCTTTCTTTGGGGACTAGTAGTATGTGGGAATGCTTTTTTAAAAACAAAATATATTATCCTCCAGTAGGAGGAAAGCATTTAGATATAGAATTTAAGAAAAGTGATCTGGTCTCTTGCATAGTATCACATCTCATATGATATCATTAGATAGATCTGACCTTAGCCTATGTAGCTTGCTTTCTAGCTCTCTACATTGTAAACCCCATAATCTCAGCAGGGCTATGCACAAGAAAACAGATATTTACAGTAGTAGCTATTTAGTAGATAGTGGACTTTGCTTTATGAACTGGCTTTCAGTAAAGAAGAATAAAGATAAAATGTGTAAAGGTTCTTTGGCTGCTTACTGGGAAGAACAGACTGTATTGTGTATATGTATTGTGCTAGAAAGAGTCCTGTTACACAGTATATTGCAAAATAAGAGGTTCACTAGAAACTGCCCTCCCCCCCCAAGTATACGTGATCCTCAGAACAGAATTCACCATTTTCTTTTGTATAAAATTGGGAATTTAGATGACTACCCCAGTCAGAGTTAATAAATGACAGCAGATTCCTGGTCTTATTCTCCCATATAAAAATTCCTATAGAGTTTTTAACTAAAGCTTTTCTAGAGCTTCTGTTTTGAAAGAGAGAGAAAAAGAAAAGAGGGGAGGAAGAAGCAATGTCCAACAAACTGCCTAAAAGCATATTTAGTTCAGTGAGTGGCAAATTATATACCTTGAATATTCAGAAGTGCTTATAATGCTTTTTAATATTTCATTCTTTAATTTCTTAAAACATAAAGTAAAAGTCCTAAGTAATATAGCCTTTCTAACTTTTCTTGCTTAAGCATTTTTTTCTTCTTTCTGATTCCTTTTGGAACAATCTTTTGGGAAATTGTTGTACTGTAGAAGAAATGAGAAGGAGAATATGTCTACGATAGGTTAGATATTTCATGACTGAATGTGACAAAAGCAGTCTTAAAATGGGAGGCAAATACATAAGCTTATCTTTGAAGTGGCTTTTCTAACTCTGTTCAACTGATTAGCATGTAAATATTATATGTTTAGAATATCTGTGGTCTCAAGCAGTACATTATATTTCAGAGGGATAAACAGTAAGTTGGAGATGGATATATCAGCATAATTCTCATTAATCTCAAATCAGTAGAATTCTCTTATTGACATTTTTGTGGTACTTTTGTGAATTAGTTATGTGACATCATAGTCTAATATCATTCAGAAAAGGCATTAGCTGTTGCTTTTTCATAATTTATTATGCAGAAAAATGTTAAGAAATCTTTAATCTTTGTGACTTCTTGACAACATCCAGTTAAAAAAAGGTTAAATAAATAGATTCATCAGGGCTGGCTATGTCTGTATGCTTAAGCACACCGTGAAGCAATTAAAATGCTGAGGTTGTAAGCATACCAATTTCATAGAAATTGACAGGTTTCTTTGATTGTAGCATATTGCGGTTGTCAGAAACCTGTATAATACACGTACCTTCAAATAGGATACAAATAAGCAGAGAGCTCTAAATTTTCTTTATGGTAATAACAGTTCTATAACTTGTGTCAACAAAAGAGTAAGCTGATCCAAAGCAATAGATCTGGTAACTTGTTTTCTCTTGTTCACATTATTCTGTGAAAAGAAGCCATTTATCTCCCACTCTAAATCATTTTCTTTTTACCAGCTGGAGGAGATCAGAATAAAATGTACCATCCTCTCTCCTCAGTCTCTGGTGATGATGATCCAGCATATGTTTTTCATTCAAGCCACGTGTTGAATAAGCAAAAAAGAGGAAATACATGCTGGTCATAGGTCAGGTGCAACCCTGAGTTTATACAGATTTATTTTCTTTGTAGCATCTGCTGTTCTGTACTTAAAGCTGTTAAATGTTGTTGTTCTTCCAGCTATTTTCAGAAAGGTTTTCTTAAGCAGTGACATTTCAAGTTTTGGCACATTCTGCTGCTCAAACATTCAGCCTTAAACAGCCTGATCCTGCAGATGATGATTCTGCAGCAGACTGGCTTTTCAGAATTTAAACTCCCTCGTTATCTTATAGGGTGGAACTGACCCTCTTTGTTTCTGGCCTCAAATGCGCAAGACCAAGCCAAAAATGAACCTGGAAGTGTGTTAGGTTGATGCTAGAGGACAGGGATGAAGAACTTCCTTGCTTGCACCTGCTCTGGCATCCTTGAGAGAATAAGGAGATGGGAACACAAATAAACTGCAATCTAAAAACACACATTTATTTTTAAGCAGGTGTAGATTATGAACTAAAGATTTCAGTAGAATTGTAATAAGTTACATTGGTTTTTAATTTATGCTGTTGCAGTTGTATTGAAAGGCTGGTTGTTTATCATTGAGGGAAAATCAGAAGTGACTGTATATATCAAATATCAACTTTATTTGTTGGTTTTATTACTCACCCACTTGCTGTATTGTGTTTGTAGCTTGAATTATGAATGATGTCTTATTGGTTAGGAATTTGAGGGCAATAACTTTGAATTGTCTTGAGTGTAAGTGTGAAAACCAGCCAGCCAAGACTAAATATGTATTTACAGCAGCTGTTTTGTAGATTTATAGCTAATATCTTTTTCTATATATTTTTTTCTTATGATTTAGACTTATTTTTCTCCAACCTGCCAACATAATAAAATGTATTAGAATTAGTAATTTACTAGGAGTTACTCTAACTCTTACAAGAATTGAGTTGCAGAAAATGGGATTTCCAGGTGGGCCTAAGAAAAAACTAAACTTCTTGACAACAATGGTATTTAAGCATTGGAACGGGTTGGCCAGAGAGTGTGTGGAGTCTCCATCCTTGGAGATCTTTAAACCTGGACTGAACAAGGGCCTGAGCAACTGGATTTATCTTTGAAGTTAGTCCTGCTTTGGGCTTTTGACTTTTAGAGGTTACTGCAAATTTTAAATTTTCTAAATCTAAACCACCAAAAATATCCGTAAAAGGGACTAAGCATAGTAAAGGCGGGGAAAAAGTCCTCTCTCCTTTCTGCTCTTTAAAGTTTGAAGTGCGACTTTGTAAGATAAAAAGAGAAAGCAATGAGGACCGAGGTGAATCATCCAATCTCACACCAGGCAGCCAAGTACCCAGTTTGTGCACAAACATTTTAACAAATACCTCAAATAATTAGAGTAATTCTGACTCTTTTAGAGCTGTATGATCATGTGTTTAACATGATTTAATATGACTGTTTCTTTTTTCTTTCTGTCCAATTCCTGTTAGGAATAGGAGGCTTGCAGGATTTTGTGCTGAAGTCTGCAACGTTGTCAACGTCTCCAGCTTGCCCACCATTTACACCTCTCAACTTTGAAGCGACACCAATTGTGCGGGTAGCTGTTGAACCAAAACATCCAAGTAAGTTTAAAGGTAGATGGGGGTGGTAAGGAAGCAACACTGATAGCAACCAGCTTCTTGCTCCCAGTGATTTCACTGGTTACAGTAATTCGTGATCTATCCATTGAGTTAGAGATTGGCCTGGAATAAACTGTATAGGTGTGATACTTGGATGACTGTATCTTGTTGTTTCTGAGATTCTTCTGACTAGTTAGGTTTTGTTTTGGTTACTGGGGAGTTACAGAACAGCTTGTGACCTTTATGGTCAGACCTAGCACATGGTTTGATATTCCTTTATCATGAAACACCTTTTTCAACATATTTATGTTTTTAGGATTTTTCATTTCTGCTGACATTCTTTTATGTTGTATCACCAAGCTCTGGGTAGAATTTTTCTACTTTTTTTTTTTTTTTTTTAACTGGATAGTATTTCTCTGACTACATTTGAATTTCTGTCCGATTTCTGGTTTTTTGTCACAGTCTTAGTAGAATGAAAATAACTGTCTTTCTCTTCAAATATGAATGACTCATAACACTAAAATGACATGTATTTTAGAAAGTGATAAGATGTCTTAGTAACTGTGTGTGTCCTAGACTCTTGAGTACCCAGTACCCATATAGTATGCATTCTGCATTTGTGAAAGCAATTTGAAAAGTATTGGATGTTTCTGGTTATGCTGAATGTAGTCATTTGTTGAAAATGTTGAAGGAAGGTAATTCTAAAACTATTGAGTGATGTGGTTTCTGTGTGTTTCAACGTTATTCTTATATCAGGGTTTCAGTTCTCCTCCCCGGTAATCTCTGTGGTTTTCACCGATTTTCATAGGAGGACAAAAGCTTCAAATGTAACTACATTTGCAAAAGTTTCCTGAAATTCAGTAGCTGTTTGCAGTAAGGGGAAGACAAGGAGAACTGGGTTGTTGTAGGTATATCTTGAAGGTGTATCTTGAAAGCAATCAGTTGGCCAGTTAGCTGTGTGTACTTCTGGGATGGCCCTAGCACACTAGCTTGTGTAGCTTCTGCACCATGTGTACTTCAAAATTACATTGTAATATTTGGAAAAAATATCTCAAAATATTTTTTTTTCCAATGTAACTGTGTATCTTCAAATTAATGTCAAAATCTTCAGGTCAAAACCCCCTCAAAGAAAGGAATAGTTTGTTTTTTCTTAGGACTTAACTGTAGACAAGTTTGAAAGTCTCTATTCCAAAATGCAATGGCTCATCATTTGAATTGAAACTGCGTTGTTTTCACTTTGTTTTCATGGTTGATTTTCTAGGTTATTTTTCTATTATACTCTTACAAGTTTAGTATTAAATATACAATGTCATTCATTTAGAGACTATTACAAGAAATTGTAAGTTGAACAACACTCATCCTTCTGAATATGGAAATCTCTTCTTAGAAAGCTCATGGGTAGTCTTTACCTCATATATGAAGGAAGAAAAAGGGGAAAATATTTATTTTTAAAAATTTCATTACTGATTAAAGGCTGCTGACTTTTTTTTTTCTTGCATAGCTTTAGTGTAACTTTGTCATATATTTAATTATGCTGGAGAATGGTTGTTCATTCTCCACTAACTTTAAGACATCTTCATCTTAGGGACAGCTGTGTTTATTTCACTGAAAAGCTCACGCATTTCAGATTTTTCACCTTTTCAGGTTGTGACAGTTTTAGAGTTGCTTCGTTGTGCATTGGTCTT